TAAAATCTGAATTTTCCCCTTTGGAATAAACCAAAACCGAGTTTATTGTTTCCATTTTGTTGTTTTCCATTTTGCACTTTTATTCCATGTTTTAAAGCATTTAATACAGTACAAAGTCTGTAATCCGGATTCGTCAGGACTTCGGCGGCTCTGGATTAAGGGTTTTTCCAGATTATAGATCATCAATTTAAATCTGGTAAGATGGCATGCAGAAATTATAGAATTAAAAATATGAAGCCATAATTTATGAAATAAAGAGCAATTATAGTCTAAAAGGTATCAAAAATTTACAAAAAAAAAAGCTTAATTTTTATGTGTTTACTTTATTAAACATTTCTTTGGATGTAAGTTGTTTAAGTTGCATCGTTTTTTGTGCTAAATGCACATGCGCAAACATTAAACGTGAATGCATAAGTTTGTGGCTTCGAGGTCCGGATTATAGATCATTCCAGATAATGGACGTCTGGATTACAGACCTTGTACTGTACGTTAAGTTAAAATGAAAAATATTACTTTTGCATTAATTTATGCAATAATTTAATTTTTTAGAAATAGCTCAATAGTTTTACTTTTAAACAATGGTTTTGATACGATATAATAGACATGTTTCATTAATTCATCAAAACGTTATTAGAGACACTATCTAATCGGAAACTAATATATCTGCCATTCTGTTGTTAAAACCGTGAATTACCCCTTTAAAATTGCTAAGAAAAATTTTCAAATCATCTTCAGAAATATTCAATTCCTTTCCGTTTTCCAAATATTAAAATTTTTAAAAATATTTCAAATTCTAGCTAAATCTTTAAAAATAGACTAAAGAAAATGCAAGAAAAAGATTTTTTTAAACTTCAGTTACAAGCAGAATTTCAGATATGGTTATTTTCTAGTAACTAATAAAAATATCTAAAATCCTCTTTAATTTATATTCCTCACCAGAATTTAATGGCTCCCCTGCCAACCCCTCCCTTCTGAGGTGTTTGGCTCCCCAGGTTAGATAGGGGATAAAGCAATTAACAGGGTTCATAGCCACATTTTAGTTAAAAAAATAAGCACCTATAAGCACTTTTCAAGCACATTTTAAGAAAAAAAAATAAGCATCTGTCTAATTACATCATACACAACTGCATAACCTTAAAAATTAGACTTGTTATTTAAAATATGAGAAATGAAGTACTTATTAAGAGAGAATAAGCATTACCTCAACCATGGAAAATAATTATTTTTTTTAATTTTAAATAATAGTTCAATTTACAGAAATAGTTTACAATGAGAGGGAAAAAAAAACTATGAAGAACTAAAACTATATTACAAGATTTAATGATGAAATTTCAGTTCAAAATAGAGAAAATAAATAATATATAAAGGCATATTTTATTGCATTCACTTGGAACCTAATAATAAATACAATTTATTTTTCTACTAATATTGATATTTAAATAATTTAAATCTAAATTCTGAACATTTTCTAAATTTTCATTGTATATCAGTTTTCTCTTAACAGATATTGCAAGCAAAGTAATTTAAGTAAAAAAGAGGAACATTTCTGAAATCAGAAGACAGAAATTTGCTTCATGCAGTCATCTTTAACAGTAAAAGCTTAACTAACCCGCATACTTGGAAATTGGCGAATATTCGTACAGTCGAGCGTAACTTGAAGGAGCAGAGGGGAGGGGGGTAGACTGTAGCCGCTCTTTAGATTTTTCCGCTAAATAAATGCTTTTGACATTCCAATGTGTGCATCATATAAAAATAAACCAACAGAACTAAAAAAATATTCTGCTTAGCAAGCACAGTAAAACTCTTTTAAGAGTTCATAAACAAATCTCCAAATGAACATCAAAATGAATTATCTCTGCAAAATATCGCAAACGTTATTGCGCAATACGTGCACCGTAATTCTTCCCTACGTGATATTATGCAATCGGAATCAACAACTGCCGGTATTGGGAGAACAAAGAACTAAGTAACTGGTGTTTTTCATTCTAATTTTCAACAGACGGCGTTAAATTTCCGGAATAAAATCATTCTTCTCTTGAGTTGGTAGACCGCAGAACTTTTAGTCCTATTCAATCCAGATTGGAAACTGACAAAAAAAAAAAAAAAAAAAAAAAAGTCCGTTGCTTGTTTTGCAGTGAACTGTAAGTTTCAATATTCAAGATTTTGCGGAGAAAGGGGAGACCTCCCAGCCTTCGTACTGTATAATGTATTGGCCAAAAAAATGAAATTACTTCCTACCTCCATCAGTATTTGGATGGGAGGAAAAGAATGTCAAATGTAGCGGAATTTTCTACTGCTTTCGCAATTCTTTGACCAATAGAAGGACGAGCACCTGTCTGTAGTCTTCGTGCACACCAAAGGTTATGTTAATGCAGAGAAAGGGGGGAAACTATTTCCGGGAGTATGACTCACCATCTGACATTCCATATTAGGAAGAAAAGTTGCTTATTTAGTTTTGGCTTTGGTACGGGGAAAAAAGCGCATTCATTTTAAAAATAAATAAATAAATAAGCACTAAAAGCAAAAAAATAAGCACTAAAAACCAAAGAATAAAAGCCTTTAAAGAAAAAGTAAGTACCTATAAGGGCCTTTATATTTTATTTTCAAATATAAGGACTTATATGCACTTACAAGGACCGCTACGAACCCTGAATTAAGCAAAGCTGTCGTCTGTTTATTGCTTTTTCACTCACTTGGGGGGGGGGAAGAAAAGGAACACAATGGTTTCCCACCTGAATAGAAAGGGGCCAGTTAGAAAACTGCATGACAAAATGCCCACTCAAACACAGCACACAATTTCAGAATATCCAAAATAGGTTTGACTTCCTGAAAAATTCTACAGATAATAATTATGATTAAAAATGATTCATTATGATTAAAAATAAAATTCAATACATTTATGTAAAATCAAAGCTGTCAAAATTTAATTAAATTACTTCAAACTATGCTTTTAATTCATTATTAAAACACTATTTATGATAGTGCATGCAAATGTTTTCTTATTCATAATATAATACGGTACTTTTATTTTTTCATTGAAATAAAAGTTTGGCTTTAATTCTCCATATTAAATTCATTATATGAAAATTTTCTGAATCGTTAAATTATTCATAAATTATTCTCTTATATGATGAAAAATCTATATATGTTTTATACTCCTTATAATTTTGTAGAATTAAAAGAAGCAGTGTGTACAGGATTCTCTTTTACCTCCCTTTGTCGAGACTTATATGGGGACACTTCCCTGTCACGTAAATATAATAACAGAATTATGCATACATGTACATGTTCTTAAGTATTTTGGTTGACTCTCTGTTCTATATATAAATATAGGGTCTTACTTCAGCCAGAACCAAAAATAAAATGTGTTCCAATACTTTATTTTTTTATTTCATCTTTTTTATGAAATCTGCTTTTAAAGTAGCATATAGGTATATTGGTGTGGGTTTTTGTCAGTGTGGAATTATATAAATGTGGACTCTTATCTGCGTGCGCTTTAATCACTGTGGATACCTGTCTTGTGGGCAATTATCACATTGGGGTCTTTTCTGTGGACTTTTGTCACATGCGCTTTTGTCTGGTCACCAACTAGAAAGACATACGCATAAATAATAATTATATGTACTGTATGTAATATTTGCTCTGTCTGGCCTAGAGATATCTTACAAAAACTCCCTATAAAGTTGTTGAGTTACATGGAATGTCGAGATATCGGGAGTCGAGTTTGCGGGATTCTACATAGTTTGCATTATATATTTAGAACCTATTTTATGTAAAGACCTAAAAAAGTGAAATTTAATAGCATTAAATTTCAAAATATCCTCTAAATAAACAAAATAAGAATTAAAGAAATGTGAAATTAAAACGTAAAAATTACAAAAACCTAGAAATACTAAACACAGTACAGTGTTTACTATTTTTCACTAATGGATTACTACTTTGTTCTCTAAGTAAATTTTAAGTTCATGTTCACTGTTTATTTTTATTTATTTCAATTTTAAATTCAGTCTAAATAAAGTCTAATTTTATTCTTTTAATTTATTGATCACTGCATTTTTCTTGTGTCAAGGAGGACTTCAAAATTTTTAGATGAACCTTTATTAATTAAAAAACTTCAAAATAGTTCATCAGCTAATTATGAATACAGAAATATAGTGGTTTTCAAGAGGAAGGGGTACTGCAATTGAGTCTGATGTATCCTCCTTTTAAGAATGTTACATTAGATTCGATTAAAATCCTCTTTATATTTTTTTCCTGGGTTTGCTTTTATACATATATATTTTCCAGTTTTTATAATTTTTAGGTTTTAATTTGACACTTCTTTAATTCTGATTTCGCATATTTATGGGATATTTTTAAATTTAATGGTATTGAATTACACTTTTTGGGGTATTTGTATAAAATAGTTTATAAATTTTGATCAGTTTTCAGCAATAAAAACGTTTGTGATTCTCTCCACATATACTATATCTTAATCACTTTCACTCCACTTCATGTAAGATAAAAGCCTTATTCAACTTAGAATTTTATTATCTGACTTTCAATCACACGCTGCCATTTACAAACATAAGTAAATATAATCTAAAAAAATAAAAAATTTTACAAATATTTAAGATCAAAATGTATCTATAATACACAATTTAAAATATATATTGGGGGTTGGATGAATGGGAAAACTATCTGAACAAAACCAACTTGCATTAACCCTCTGACTGGCCAGGGTTTTCGCTAAGAAAGCTCAGATTTCACAAAACTACTATGAGAAAAAATTATTTTCTTGATTTTAATGTAAAAATTCTTCTGGCATTTTATACCTGGATTTGTGTACTTTTAATATATTACCTTAATTTCTTTGACATATTTTAATATGCACATATATATACATTCTTACAGATATCACAAAACATATTCTAGGCCATATATATATATATATATATATACGGCCTTACCGGTTAAAGGGTTAATATGCTTAGTTATTTTAAACAAGTAAAAATACTTACAATGCCTAATACTATCAGAAAATGATGGGTCTTGAATAGATTTTTTGAGGAAATTTAACATTGATTTAAGAAGTGCAGCTCTTTGAGGGAAACACTGCAGACCTGAAATACAAAGATGGGGAGAAAATCAACTCATGATTCATACATTCCCAGATGTATCAAGAAATTTGAACAAAGTTTTCAGATCTGTTTTAAAATAAATCAGCAGTGATTTCTCTCACAAAGAAACTCTCCCTTTATTGTCCAAGTTATGATATGATTTAGTGAAATCTCCGAAACTGACCAGAAAAAGAGCCACTACATACCAAAAAGTACTGATAATGATAGTTCCGAAAGCTCAGGCAATACCAGATATGTGAAACCTCCAGATAGTTTAGCATATAAAAATTGCACTTCATTTTAGAAAAACCAAATAAATGGAAGAAGAAATTTCCAAATAAATGGAAGAAGAAATTTCCAGTCTAAAATTATAAAAATAGTTATCTTATTCATAAGCTTGAATACCAAAAGCTTACATTTAACATTAAACAAGACAGCTTATTTTCACAGTCCATTAACATATAAAAAGGAAAATATCTTATTATAAATTCCCCCAGATTATGAAATTTGCTTTATATATTCCAACAAACTTCCCTCAATCATTCCAGCATAAGTTTTAAAGATCTGACTGCTCTTTATTCAGTTAGGTTATCAAAAGATACAAGTTACTGATAAAGCATTCAAAAGTTATTTTTCAATGTAGTACCACCATTGTTTATTTGTTTTCAAATAAAGCGGCACATCATATTCATTAATCCATGCTCTTCTTCATATCATGATCCCATAATTTTCTGAATACTCCATAGCATGCCATTCTGCTTGGGACAAAGTCCTAAAGTTTAATCCTCACCCCTCCCAAAAAAAGTGAGAAAACAAGTAGGACAACATACATCCTGCTTCACAAAATCTAAACTGCTAATAGATAATTTATCAGTTAACAGGAAATCATGGCAAGTACTTTAAAACTATTATAACATCAGGTTTACCCATTACTGATGCTAAATCACACAGCTTGGCTAGAGTGGTTTTTTTTTCGGGGGGAGGGGGTCCCAAACTGTAGTCATATGCATGCTTTATGGTGGTTTTACAAGTCTTTAATTTCTTAATATTTTGTAAAAAGGGGGTAAGAAAAAAAATTAAATTATATTAAATACATGGTTAAATACAGAAGGTGTTCACACACTGTAACAATTTTGCAAAGATATATATATATAAACAAACCTTAAAATTTTATTTTTTAATATGTTCAGTTTGACAGCACATTTTTTAAACTATCATAATTACATCTTGATTTGCAAGATAAAAGTCCTTTTATTAAAACATCAAGGTTGATTCAATCTTCCAGGGTCTACCCAATGTTTTGGGACGCTTCTTATAAAGAGCTTGTTTTAAAAGTCCAAATGCATAGTAATCAATAGGAGACACAACAGCGAACTTAGGTGGGATGCATTTAAAGGAAATAAATAGCTTGAATTTCGGTTTCATTTCTCATTTTTTCTAAAAATAGAGAGGTATGGCTTGGAGTCTTATCCTGATTGAACTTAACACCGTGAAAAATTGTTTGGATAAAGAGATGGAATTTCTTGAGGTGTGAAAACATATTTCTGATGGTAATCCAAACTAATTTTGACCCCCCCTTTTTGGTTTGTTATAAGAGAATCCAGTAATAACCATAAAACCTTAGGAAAAACTTTCATTGCTTTCTCTCAATCAAAATATTACGTCATCTCCTCTTTTTCAGTAGTAAATCGATATTTTTCTAGTGCAAACAGATTTGTATATACAAGCCTCATCAACTGTAACTACAGATTTCCATTTTTCACCTGCCATATAATTTTTATACAGCGATCTGCAAATAGTCCTAAGCTGAAAAATACGTCTCAGCAGTAAGCGATGAACATTCTTTTTTGTTTTGATTACCTTTAATCAGATTTTATAATTTTTTTTTCAGTTCTTACAGAGACATTTAAAGATTTTGCAATAGCTCTTTAGACGTGTCTTGATCTAGAGAGAGAAAGCAACACAGAACTTGCCTCAATTGCCTGTGAAATGTCTCGTTTCTACAACCATGGTTTATGGTTTGGGGAGGAATCACGACAAATGGCCACACAGAGCTGCATATCTTTCAAAGAGGTTCTGTAACCTCTCAGAGATATGTGGACAAAGTATTGGAACCACAATTTAAGACTGTTTAGTGTGCTATTAGTCCAGAGTTTTTGCTAATGGATGGCAACGCTTGGCCTCATCGAGCATATGTGGTTCAGAAAACTTGCAGACAAAAAATATCACTCGAATGGATTGAACACCTTATTCCCCTGATTTAAAACAAATTCAGCATTCAAACAAATTCCTCTCCTGACCAGCTGAAAAGCGCACTTTTAGAAGAGTAGTGTGCATTTCCACAAGACTTGATCAGCACTTAAATCTATAAAATCATCTATCAAATTCTGATCGTTTGCCATATAAAAAAAAATAATTACCATGAGAGGTGACTTAATTTTCTCATCTTTTTCCTGTTTCCATAAATTTGCTTTTAATTTCAATATTCTGTCAATAATCAACTATCAAACATTGTAATTTATGTTAACTTATGATTTTGTAAATTTCTATTAATAATATTTTATTAAGTATCGGTTATGTTTTATTTCTGTCATTATCATTTAATCTTGATGCCCTATAAAAAATTTTCAACATCTTTGTTTTCCAAGATTGCAAAATCAACGTGAATCATCACATTTACTTCTATATGAAATGAAAGATAACTGATGATGACATAAATTACCTTTATGGAGGAGAGGAATTCTCATGGAAATCCCCCAACCTGCAGCACATAATTAATTATGCTTCTAGACAACTAAGTGTTTTGACAGAATACCAGACAAAGTTCAAACTACACAGATAAACCTGTATGTTTGAACTTGGTAAACTATACACATAATTTCTCACACAATGACAAAGTTTTTCAATTCATTAAATAAGTGTTAATATTAATACTAAAATTTTATAATAATGAGTAATCAACCACTCCCTACATGCAAAATGTATTAATCTGCTGCTATGCTGACAACGAACAAAGCAGTGTATTTATAAAAAGTCAAAATTTTTTAGGTGGAAAAACATCCGGATTTGCAACTGCAAGATATAATGGTGTCCCTATTTTATTTTCAATCTACTGCACTTCTATTTCAGTATTTTTTATAAATTCTGCCAACAGCCTTGAACAAGGAAAACCCACTGAAAAAATTAATAATGTCATTGCTCACAACGTTTTTCTAAGACAAACTATTCAACAGAAGTAAACTGCCTGGAATTGTAGGTGGCGTCTCAGAATTACAGAGATTTCACTGCATTTAACATAGAAAAATCAAAATTTATTTACCTTTTTTTGACTCATTTAGTTTTAAAGGTGGATTTTCAGAAACAGAATCAATACAAATTAATTCTTCATGTTTTTCTTCCATTTGTCTAGAACACCTGCATAAATTGTAAAATATTTTATAATTTACTGTACGCAAATTAACATATTTCAGTTCTTTCAATTAAAAAAAAAAGAATACAATAGATATAGTTCATTACAATATAACAATTTCGAAGCTAAATCAAATCAACCTCTCAAAAATTAAAAATGGTGCTACAAATTAAATAACCTGAATTTCACAGCAAATAACTATTAATTTTAAAGAAACTTTTACATCTTAAGGTATCCGACCATGTTTTTTTTTTTCAAAAAAATGGTATAAGTATACTAAAGGCATTTTTTCCTTTATTTTCTACAGAGATTAATTATGGAATATAAAAATTTCATATATGTTATTATTACCCTGCAAAAAAATTGTAATACAGTCAAAAGTCTTTAATCCAGACCTCAAAGCTAAACTTATGTGCATGCATGGCGTTTAATGTATAACGGACGGTATAAGTTAAGCTAAAATTATCTCAGTTAAAGCTGCAGATTGCGTTGTACCTTAATCTTCTAATAGGATCAGGCTTATTATTTTTTGCAGACTGTTAGAGCAATTTTATAAAAGTAAGCTTGAATTTTCGATTATGTCAAAAAGAATTTCCGATGCTGGATACTGCCAAAGGATCTACAAGTGAAAGCATGTTTCGATGTCCATCAAACAAAAAGTGGAATTGCTGCAAAAAATGGATAACGGCATATCCTTTGTTTCTCTAACCATTCCGAAATCTGTTTATCACTTTCACACTGCTCTGCAGGAGAGAGGAATGTCGCAGCGCGCAATGAACTGGAAGTTGATCTGTCAGCACTATCCTTATATTCAGGGGCAGATGTTTTTATTTTATTCGGCTTATAATTCATTACTAAATGTAGCATTTCATCTTGATGTACTCTGTCTTTGATATGATTTAAGTCAAATTCATTATAAATATCACGAATACACATCAAATAGTTTTCTGGTTGCAATTTTCTAATTTCGACTATGCGTAATGTATGCTTTACGCATGCGTGCATTGAAAGAAATGTTTAATAAAGTAAACAAATAAATATTAAGCCTTTTTTTTTTTTTTTTGTGTAAATTTTGATACCCTTTAGACCATAATTGCTCTTTATTTCATAAATTATGGTTTCATATTTTTAATTTTATAATTTCTGCATGACATCTTAACTGATTTATAATCCAGAAAAACTGATAATCCGGAATCGCCGAAGTGCCAACGAGTCCGGATTAAAGACTTTTGACTGTATACATGAAATTTTAAACAAATTTTGAAACATTGTATATGAAAAAGTATGCTTAAAAAGTCATACAATAATAAATTACATGGTTTTATCTAGAGAATGACGTACGATTTTAAGAATATCTCAAAAAATATAAAATTTCAGAATTTTGAAACTTTTTTTTACGAGATTTTCGATAAATTCACGATGTCATTATTTGAATAAAAGGCCACAATTTCAAAAATATTTAGCATATAAATATTCCAGTACATCATTCCTTAGATAACTATATATAGATTAGGCAAACAAAGTTTCATAAAATAAATTAATAATAATTTGATTAATCTTGCTCCAAGTAGGCAAGTTTTTAGAAAAATAATTTTTCAAAAAATGCATTTAAAGTTTAAAAAATGCTACATATTTATTATTAAATCTTTACCCAAATACCTAAAGCTCCCATATCTATGGGTTACACCTTTTTGTTCAACTTTATCTGTTTTGCTGATTATATTCTGCATATATATGTGCACTTATGGCGATTTAAATGGCCATTTCCGATTTTTGCATCGTTAAGAAATCCTTAGTATCTCTTCTAATTAACATAAAAAAGAGCAGGCCAGTTTTTGGAAAGCTAAATAAACAATCTATCCAATGAATGAATAAATGAAAATTGCCACATTTTGCCAAAATTGGCTTTTTCAACGGGTTCGGATACCTTAAGTTTATACTGATAAGAAAATTAAGTTCACATTGTTTTAAAATACGAAAACTAAACAGGAGAAGCAGATTTAACTTTTATGTTTGGAAAAGTAACCCAGCAATAAAGGATGCCTAACTAGCTAATATCTCCCTTAAGTGGCACCACTGATTGAAAAAAGAACTGTAAATGTCCTCCACTGAACTCACACCATATGCACTCAAATGCAATGCTTCCTATTATCAAGCAATGCCAGCATATTCTTTTTCAGAGTGTTTGGATTGTTCCAAATTTTCTGCATAAGAAAGGCTTATTTTCTAAGCACATACAAATTTCCATAGCCAAGAAAAGCCAAGCAAGAGTAGGTAGTGACATTCCTTTGAAAATCATTCAGTATTCAAAGAATACAACTTACAGATGTGTAAAATGAAATAAACCTAGTAAGCACCTACCAATGTTGAGCAGTGAGGCTATATGTGGACCTTAAAAAAAAAAAAAAAATTAGCTGCCCAAAACAAGCATGTAAATGTGTACTAGCTAGAGAAGACTGTATTCTGAGTATCTAAGCACTATATTTCACTATGTTACATACAACTGTAAACCACAGATATAAGGACATGACTACATGTTTAAATCTTATTTAACCCTCCTTGAGTTACGGACGTAAAATTCCTTATTAGAAGGGTGGATTTCTTAAACATTCTGCATGAAAATTTCAGACAGCTTCTAAAGTATCTGATTTTCAGTTGGATGTATGCTGAAAGAAAGGGAATCAAAGTACAATGTGAGGGAGTTGTTTTGGAATTATAATTAAAAAAATACCATTTATTCATGTCATTCTGAGGAATTTTGAAATTTCGGGGCAAAACCTGTAATGCTCAGAAGGTTAACCTACATTATTAAAATCACTAGTTTCTTTTTGTTCATTAATTTAATCCTATATGTAGGAAAAGGGAATATAATACTTTGGAGAAATAAGTAGGTAGGAATAAAAGAATGAAAATGAAAAGAAATCAAAGTAAAAATTTACTCTGGTTGAGAACACATACAAAGAAATTTGAAATGTGTGCAATTTTTCCTATACATTGACAATTTGGGCAGCGTCCACGACATCACAGAAAGAAGAGAGAGAACAACACATTTCTGGAATTAAATGTGCTTATAGCATTGTGGTATAGCTGGAAAAAAATGAGCTTTAGATCATCATCACATCAGGAACATCTGTAGCTTAGGATTATGTGTACAATATTTAATCTCGTACCACATATTCGAAATGCATTACTGATGCAACAGTCCCAGAGTCTCCATAATTTGGGCATGTAAATTTTAAAAAGGTCAAAGGTTGCTTATGAAATATTAAAATGGTGTTTTCAGACTATCGAAATATAAAATATTAAGTCCCTTTTTTCTGCCTTTCTTTCTTAATGAAGCTATCCTTTTTGCAATCAAAATCCAAGCTGCAAAAAGAACTTTTTTAAATCTACCAAAATATATCATTAACTCTGAAACACAAAAACTCTGGAACATGATATACAAAAATAAAATTTATGACATTTGCAACCTACTTTAAATGTGATAAATATCAGTAGACTTCAAAATTTGAAAAGGGCCAACAGTGGCAACCTACTTTCTTGGGGCCATAGAAGTCAGCAGACTTGCACATCACATTTTGCCATCAGACACTTGGAGTCTCTCCTATGAACAAGGGCAGAAAGTTTTTAAAACCACCCACTCAGCCATCATCTGATCATATATTTTTCTTGATTTTACCTTGGATGAAATTTTTTCTCTTCTCTTTTTAGAGGTATCTGGACTCGTGGAATTGGTTTATATGTTTGACCACTTTGGGGATTAAAACAACAATCCAGAAATTTCCGAAATCTGGAATAACCCAAGATGCAATTTTTCCATATTTCGGACTTTGTACTCTACTTACTTTTGCGGCACCTTCATATAAGAAAGTTTCTAAATGACTACAAAATGCAAATAAAGATAGATACATCTAAAAGTTGTTGTTGTCTTGTCCATATTACATGGAACAATGGTTGCAGAGCCTACTCTGAAGAGAGATTTGACTTCTATTTTCCACCCCCAATTCTGAGGAAGAGCACCCCGAGGAAGGGATCCGGAGGTCTCCCATCCCTCTCCTCACCCACCAATCCACACGAGAGGACTTTCGGCTTGCCACATATTTTGAGTGCCGTCCTGACGCACCGACACCTGGGCCCTTCGGTACTGTAGTAGGCTCCCCTAACCATTATACCGTCTGGGCAACATCTAAAAGCTTTAAACATGGTACTAAACATAACATTAATTATTAACAGAACAGGATGACTATACAGAAATAGAATGATAATTGTTATAATAAATAATTTGTATACTGGTAAAAAAAAAATCGTGTAAGGAAATAATGAAATAATATAATATGGTTTTCTTATCATTATTTTAACATGTCTAGTTTTGAAAATATAACAAAAATCAAAACATAGCAGGATTCTTATGCTTACATTCTAGTATGCCAGTTGCTGGAGTAAATTTAAATCGCAGAGAGAAATAAGAAAAGAGCACTATATACTTCTTAATCCACATGTCGCACACCCTACATACAGGATCTCCATCCAATGTGTCCAAAGTATCCAAAAAATGAATAAGAAACAAAAATAATACTTAGCACTTAAACTTATGGTTTCCAAGGGGCAACCTCCAATGCTTTGCCTAGATACACAGTGCATCTACTGTTTGACCATTGCCAGTAGAATCTTTACTGGCATTTGGCCAAAATATTTAGACTGAATTTATTTGGATTGTGGCAAAGCATGCAAGAGCTTTGTTTTTGAAGAGAGTGTGCCTTAATGAAGGACATTCTCAGGGGAACTGGCTAATATTCACATTACACAAGAGATACACCAGGAAAACTCTTATGCAGCCAGTCCACCTGCTGGGATTTCAAGCCAGGTTAAACTACCAGTGTTTATCAGCTTTACCACTCGGCAGCAGGTGGGCCTAAAACATTCAAGACTTGGCCAGCAAGGTGACTGGAAAGGAATATTTGGGAACTGGGAGGTTGTTACTACTTCTACGCAGCGTTTCCCCTTA